TGTGCTATGTGCGTGTGCGCATGAACGTGGGCGCGTGTGTGTGTCCGTGTGCCCGTGGTGTGCATCTGGGGACACGTGCGGCCACCTCGTGGGCTACCATGTTCCCTCAAGTCTTCTGCGGGCTGCCCCCGAGGACCCCAGGTGGCCGGGCAGGGCACTTCCACCTCGGAAGCCAGCTGAGTCTCTGTGGGGCAGGTGGCCGAGGGCTGGGGGGGTGGAGAGGGTGAGTGGGAGGTGTGAGACTCCCTCCCCAGTGGCTGCCCCGCCACTGTCCCCTGCCGGCCTCTCCTGCTGTCCCCAATGCGGCCCTCTACATGCCCGTCCAAGGACCAGCAGACACAGCTGGGCAGCCAGTCCAGGCGGCTCCTGCCGAGACCCCCGGGGGTGACCCCGATAGCAGAGGCCAAGAGTCCCGCCCGGCCCTGAGCAGGGCGAGGACGGGGCCGGCGCAAGGGGCAGATTTATGAGCCCAGGGAGCCCTGTGGCGTCCTCGTAATAAACTCCAGGTCAGGGAGCGGCCGGCCAGCTTCTGTCTCTCCCCTGCCTGGAGATCGGCGAGGGGGAGGAGGCAGGATGAGACCTCCGGCTGCCAGGGTCACTGCCCTCCCAGCTGCAGGCTGTCCTTGTCCACCTTCCATGGCTCAGGGAACTGGGCTGCACAGGCGCTCAGCGACGCACCCAGAGTCACCCTCACAGCGGGGGAGTAGTGCAAGATTCGAACCCAGAGCCTTGGTTCCATGCACGTGCCAACATGGCGAGACAGGCTCAGCTCTCTAGTCCTGCGTGCCAGCACTCTGTGTCCACTCTCGCCCGACGTCCACAACCACCCCATCGATCCGCCAGCGCCCCAGGGAGAGCAGCACAGGGAGCCCGAGACGGTGAAGGTAATAGAAGACAGTGGGCCACAGGTACAGTCAGAGGGATGGAGACTGAACAAGGACTCACGTCCCCTGGAGACAGGGAGGTGGCTGCATTGTGCCCATTTCACAGCGGAGCAAACTTCAGCCCCAAGAGGCTAAGACTGTGGGCGGACTTGTCAGGGTCCCACAGCCGGAGCGACAGGGTGGGGATCGGAACTGTGGCTTGGGCTGGCCCCACAGGCTGCTGGTGATGGCCCCCCGTGCCTGCCCTCCACTTGTAGTGGGAGATGGCACTGCGCGGCTCCACGAGCCCTGGGGGTCGCACACTTGGAGCTGAGACCATCCCTGCCCTTGGCTGCTGCTGAGAGGAGGAGCGCAGCGTGGGACCACGGTCAGGGGCCCGGCGTCCACGCCACCTGGGAAAGTCCTCGCTCTGAAAACCGAATGGCTTACATGGTGTAAAAGGGGCCACCGTGCAGGCTGGCTGTGGGGCTGCGTCTCTACGTCTGTCAAGAACGGGTGGTCAGCTGGCCACTTCCAGGGCTGCTGCACCCCTGGGTTCCAGCAACCCCGGATCAATGATACCCGTGCACTGAACATGCACACTGTTCTCCTGCCCTCACTCCCCGAGCCACAGAGTGCC